TGACCTATATATGGGGCAAGGGAGGCGGCACGTCTGTGGCAGCAGATGGTGTCTTAAAGAGCCTGGGCTTGGGGAGGCTTTGGTTCTGCCGGCCCCTGTCTCTGGCGAGGGAGAGGATGGGCCGCACATTGGCTGCAGAGCAGCCAGGTTCAGCCTGAGCAGCCCCTGCAGCTTCCTAAGGCTGCTGCCTGGCATGGAGGGTCCTGCTCACCTGGGGCATCAAAGGTCTTGATGGCTGGACTGGGGACCTCTTGTCCTGGCCCAGGAGCACTGACCTGTGCTGCCACTGGCCAGTCTTGCTGTAGCATTGGAGCACAGGGCTCTTCCAGGCAGAGCTCCTGGCCCTGGGGCAGCCTGATGTTGGTGGCTGTGTGTGTGCCTGTGTTCCTGAGACAGCGCAAGGCAGGTGTGGGCTGAGACACTTCTACGTGCTCTAACCCTGTGGCTGGACATGCGGTGTCCTGTCCTCACAGGAGCTGGCTGGGCAGGCTCGGCACAGCCACATGTGGCGTGACTGGACCTGGCTTTGCCACGGGACCTGTTCAGCCTGGCTGAGCCGGGAGCAGGAGCAGCACCTCACCAGAGAGCCGTGCTCCATTGATGCCTTCTCCTGAGGACACGGGTAGCTGCTGGCTGCGGGGGAGCTGGTGACGCTGGAGCGGGTCGGGAGGGAGTGTCTGCACAGATAGCCACCATCTGTGGCCTCTGCCTGCTGCCAGTGCTCTGCCCAGGACCAGAGCATGTCCTGCCAGCCTTGCAAAGCTGCAGTGCTGCCCCTGCCCGCAAACAGTGGCAAAGTCAAAGTGCAGAGTGCTGTTTTCCTCCTCTCCCCTCTAGTCCCCAGCTCTTGAAGCAAAGAGGCTGTAGTGGAGCAGACCTGGAGGGTGATTGTTCAGGCCTGGGCTTGACGATTCAGTCTTTTAGCTCTTTCCTCCTGGGGTGCTTGTCTGAGCATGTGGTTCTGACCTCGCCATCCATCGGTCTGCCCCTTGACCTCCCGCTTTCCTGTCCTGTCCCCATGGTGTGGGACACACAGAAGCAGTTGGCTGTGGAGCTCAGCCCAGGATGCTCCATGTCGCAGCCCTCCAGGCTGGTGCGGTTCCTCCTGTGCGTCTGGATTTGGGGTGGGGAGGCAAGAGCTGGGAACTGGCCTTGAGAGGGGCCTGGAGGGAGCTGGGCAGGGGGCTGCGATGGGGCAAAACTGAATCCAGCTCTTCATGGCAGCGATGAACCTACTAAATCAATTGTTGCCACCGATCTGAGGTTTTCTTTAAAAGGGGTGATGTTACTAATTAATTAGCTCCCTTTTGGTTGCTAGCACTTTAAAGCCCAGCTGTCAGGGGAGGGCTGGTTTAGAGGCATTACATCAGGGCTGCCGGCTGGCTCGCTCGCCTACCTGGGAATTTCTAAGCGTGCGTTGCTGTAACCCGGGGAAGTTTGGCTTGGATGCAGCATCTGGCTTCCAGCGAGGCTGCTGCCATGCGCTGTCCTGCGCGTGGAGGGGGGCTCGGACAGGCCCTGAATGCGGTGTGCGGGGGCACGCAGGGAGCCGGTGGCACGGCCTCTCGCTGTGGCATTAGCCACCAGCCGGGCCGTTTGCTGGGCCCACCTGCGGGAGATGCTCCGAGGGCGCTCGGTGTTTAATGGAGGGGAGAGAGAGCAGGGGGGCTCTTCTGAAGCAAAAGGGGGGTTTTCTGGTGGTGGGAGGTTAGGACAGGGTAGCGATGCCATGGCAGAGCTGCCAGGGGCAGGCCGTCGGTGTGGGAGGGGAGCAGCCTCTCCCCCGTCCCGACCCGACCCATCCCGGTGCAGGAGGGTGACGGGGAGCCCCACTTCAACTTCCCCCCTTGCCCGGGGCTTCTCCACCGGGAACACCCGGCCACCCCGTGCCGCTGCCCTCCACGGTCTCCCGGCCTCACTGAGGTGCCAGCCCGGTGGGCCGGGAGCGGCGCGGGCAGAACCCAAAGGTAAGGTGCCACCTCGGCCCGGCCGGTACCGAGCCCCTCGAGAGGGGCAGGCGGTGGTGCCCGGTGCCCTCTCCGCGGCGGGGCCGGGGGGGGTGTCTCGGTGTGACCGGGCCGCCGCAGGCCCCGTTGCTAAGGCCCCCACCCCTCCGTGGAGACCGTTGCTAGGACACCGTCCCCGGCGGGCGGGGGGGGC